ACAACACTGACTCCATCTGGGCTCCCCCAAAGTGCTGCCAGGCCACTATTAATGGACACTGTTTATAAATCCTTCCTTGAGCCACCTGTCCCCATGGAAATGACCCCAAGCTTCCTGTCCAGCTCCTCCAACTGCCACAAGCACTCCTGTCACACCAGAACCGGTGATGTGACCATCACCTCCACATGACAACAGGCCAGCTAGGGGCACCCTGGTCCAGTGGAAACTGTCCCTGCCTGTGGGACACCCCAGTGTTTTAAGGTCTCTCCCAACCCAAATCATTCCAGGATTCTGGGTGCTGGTTTAGATGAGATATTAGGAAGAAGTTCTTCCCTGAGAGGATGGTAAAGCCCTGGCACAGGCTGCCCAGAGAAGCTGTGTTTGCCCCATCCCTGGAAGTGTCCAAAGTGGGAAGTGTGCTTGCCTATGGCAGGAAAGTGGAACAAGAGGAGCTTTATGGTTCTTTCCAACCCAAACCATTCCATGAATCTATGACAGTGCTGTCCCAAAGGGAACGAGCAGTGAGGTTCCCCGAAATAAAAAACAGGTAGGCAGGGACCCGCCTTTCTCCACTCTCACTGTCTAGGTTCAGGATCCCTGCAAGGGAAAAAAAAACCAAACCCACAAGCTGAGGAGATAATCACCTAAAGGTTTGGAAGATGACTGAAGCCTTTAGATAAATAAGTAATAAAGTGATCGAAAAATCTATCACGTGCACAATTAACAAAAGAGACTTTCTTGKGCTACAACGCCCTGCAGCTCCACATCATCAAATCGTTAACTCCAGGAATAAAGAAKGGTGTAGATAATCTGGGTTTGGCTCATTACGATTATAAATAAGGTTTCTATATCAGTTTAATTCTGCAAAGCGCTTTAGGATTAGGGCAGGCAGCCAGGACAAATCTCCCGGTGGATGCCACAACAATAGATCCCGGTACCTCGGTGCGACAGAGGGCGGGGGGAAGGTTTCACCCCCGAAGGGTTCGAGCACGGGGTTTGTTCYATACTCACATCCCCCTTGTGCAGCTCGGGCGCCGCGATCCGCACCGGCTCCGTCCTCTTCTTTGGCTTGGGGAGGCCCAAACCCGCCCCGGGGGAGGCAGCGGAGGGCGGGTTAAKGGGGGAAGCGGCGGTGGCAGCATTCCTGGGGGGCGGCAGCAGGAGCCCCCTCGACCGGGGGGGTTCCGCGGCCCCGTCTCCGCTGCCGGTGGGCTCGGAGGGGCTCTCGGTCCCGCCCTGGCCCGGCGAGSCGCTGCCGAAGCCGCTCACGGCGGGCGGAGGGCCCATGAGGAACGGCGGGGGCACCGCGGGGGCTCTGGGCGGGGGKAGCGCGGCGAAAAGCCCCCGGGCCGAGGGCTGCTCGGCTGCGGCTGGGGGAGAACCGGCGGCTTCCTCCTCCTCGCCCGCAGGCTCCTCCGCATCGCTGTCCTCCTCACTGCTGGCGTAGGCCACGAGGGACATGGCCCCGGGGAGGGCGGCCCTCCGCGGACAGCAGCCGCTACGCGAGGCCGGGGATCCGCCCTCCGCGCTAGGCCGCGCCGCCGCCGCGCCTTCAGCGCCCGCAGCGGGGAGGAAGAGGCGGGTGAGGGCGAGGCTACGCCGCCATAGCGGCCCCTCCCCGTGCGGCGGCGGGGCCGCGGAGCAAGGCGAGGCGACAGCGGCAGCTCCGCGCTCCCGGTAATGGCTGCCGGCAGCGCCCCGCTGCCCGCGCTGCGGCGACGCCGGACTACAACTCCCGGCGTGCCCCGCGCTGCAGCGCCGCGCCCGCCTCCCGGTGTGCCCCGCCGCGAGGCACCGCGGGAAATGTAGTCTGTGGTGCCACGCGGCGGGACCCCCGGGCGGGACCGGGACAAGGCCCGGGCACAGCGGGGACGCGAGGAGGCCCCGGGAGACGGAACGGAACGGGACGAGGTCGGGTCTGGGGACAAAGATGAGGACGAAGATGAGGATGAGGAGGCGGGAGGGCCCGGCCCACCCTCGCCAGGCCACTGATTCATTGCCAAACCGAGCCCCGAGCAGGCACTGCAGCACCTGGTGTGGCCCCGGTGTCCGGTACGGCGAGGGCTCTCCCTGCMTTCCATCCTTTCATTTTTGGGGTAGTTTTGGGGTAGRATCARTCCTGTGAGCCCCAGGGGAAGCTGCTGGACCGGGATACAGGAGGCCTGGCTAGAACCTGGTTTATCCAGCCRGCGCTTTGCTGATTTTCAGTTTGATTTGACGCCTTTGACCTCCTTCTGGGTTGTTCTGGCCTTAATAAGCAGCGAGCTGGGCTCGAATTTGGGTCCCTGACACCCAGGGAAGCGATTTGCAAAGCCACTGCAAAGTACCAGCACAAGTAATTAAAGCAAAATGGAGATAAACGAGTGCATCCTGAGCCCTCTGTTCATTTGGAACGGTGTGAAATCCAGCCAGCGYGCCCTGTCACCCTTGCTGGCCCGTTCTGGAGGACTGAGGAGTGTTAAAAATACAGAATTAAAAATAGGCATCGAGGCCTTGGGGAGCGAGAGGGACAGGCACGGGAGGCTTCCAGGAGTTACATTTTCCCCCAGTCCTTACGCGGCCGTGACCTGCGAGGGCAAAGCCAAGAGATCCCAGCACAAGGACACGGAGGAGGAGCAGGACAAGGACAAAAAAAAATGTCCCTGCAGCCAGAAGRTCCCATCTGCACCAACCTATCTTCAGGAACCACTTTCCCTGAGAATGTGGGTTCCATATCCCAAATACCCTTTGGACTCAAATAGAATAATAATTTGGGCTGGAAGTGACCATWAAGATCATCCTGGGGATTCKYTGGGATCTTCCCTGCGGATTTTTTCACTCCTTCCTAAGCACCTGGGCTGGTAAATTTTTAGGATTTAGGAAAGGGAAATGGGGTATTCCCTGAAAAGCACTGAATGGTTTAACCACCCCAAGCTCTAACATGAGGCAGCCCTCATCCTCCGCCAAGGAAAATCAACAGGGACTCTGTCAGGGAGAGGAGGGACCCAGTTTAAACAAGGTCTGGCTCCTGCTGTGCAGAAGGAGGGAGGAATCCTTGTTTCCCTCAGCCTTTTGTCCATTTTTCCATTGCAGGTGGAGATTCCTTGGGACTGGTCTCACCCCCAGGCAGCGGGATCCTGCTGTCAGCCACGACCCTGCCCAATTATTTATTTGTGTTTCTTTGCRGCTTGTTAGGAGAAATTAGGCCAAGGAAAGCACAGGGGGATGGAAAGAAAAGAGCCCAGCCCAGGA